TGGTTCCTTGTTTTCAGGTTCAGGGAGCTCCCCAAAGCTGTTATTTGTGCGTGCAGTTGTATGACTGAGCCCTCCATGCCTTCCAGGGTCCTCAATATGCACCACATCCACGGTGCTGCTATTTCGATCCACTTTTTCATGTGAAATTTCAATATCACTCTCTGAGGTTTTGCCATTGTATTTCAGGGCCTCAGTTTCAGCTGCTTGTTCGTTCTCCGAGTTTGAGGGATCTGTGGGGTCGGATGAGTCAGGGCGGGAAAGTGGAAACTCTCCCTCAGAAGAGCCATTAAGCTCTGTCCCAACCAGCGTGTTCGGCTCCCCTGCCGACGTGCCTGCTCTTTTCCCTTCCAGTTCAGCAACTGCCTGCTCTGTCAGTTTAATTATCTGACTTCCAAGCCTGTTTATTTCTTCTTCCTCGGAAGGTAGCTGGGGTAATGAAGGATAAAAATGTTTATTTTGTTTTCTGTTATTTAAGTTTGTTCCCTCTGGAGACAGGGACTCACTTGCAACAGCTTCATCATGTTCTGCCTTCTGTTCTGCTGAAAGAGAAACAGACCAGCGAGATGCTCTAGTCAGTCACAGGTATTTATTATATATCTGACCCAAAGACTGTCACCCCCAGATTCAGGCCACAGAGATGTTTACCTCCATAAGGTCTTCCTAAGAGTGACTCCCTATCCCATCCCAGGCCCATTTCTTAGAGGATAAACAATCAACACTAAGTTTCTTGCAGGATCTGGCCCTGTCTTGGAGCCTCGCTTTCCCTAACACCAAAAACTCTAGGAAGAGTCACAGTTAATACCATGGAACAGCAGGGTCAGGCAAACTTTTTCAAAGAAATATCAACTCTAAGCAAGGAAGGTACTCAGCTACAGAAATTTTTGGCACAGCTTAACATTAATCCCCACGTCGCTACCACTTCCAGGGGTTAACACAAGCTCCGTTTATTTGGAGCTTTTCACAGGCTTTCATCCAAGACTGAAGTTTCGTTATTGGTCCTGCAACACCACAGCAGCAGTGGAAGAATTTTAAATATACCATTATACCAAAAAGCAAACACTGAATAAAGTGTCAGAATAGAGAAAACAGCAGTGTGTAAACAAACAGCTCTGTGAAAGAGAGAGAATTTGTCCTCATCTCGGTTAAGGACAAAAAGCTTCAGTGAAAATAAGCTTGCGAAGTCAAGTAAGAAAGATTAGGAAATGCCAGAAGGACGGCTGCATTGACAGCTTAAAATGACTCTTGTTATGCACACGCATTATCTTTCAGTATCTGAGCATTTACTCTTTTTCTCCCACAGGAATCCTGCCCCACGCACTGCACAGGACAGCCTGGCTGCAGGCAGGGATCAGAGCTACACAATACAGGAGCCTACTGCCTCCATCAGACCTGCCCCATTTATAATTCGGGAGCTGCCACACGAGTGAGACAAGGGCTGGCACGAAGGGAACAGACACTCTTATTACCATTAAGGAAACTAGGAATGCTGCTCTGAAGAGCTGGAATTTAGGTCTGTGGAAAAGGCAGGGATAAATTAATTTTCAAAAGGTGATCACCCACTGGATCTAATCCTCATTATCTGAGCACTCAGCTGGAAACCTAGGAGCTCAATTTGCAGCACAGCTCTGCTCATGCTGTGTTTCTGAACACACACACTCAAAGCACTGCAAAAAGAGCCCAAACTTACGTACCTCAAATTGGCACTTGAAATTAGCAGGGACTACCTTTTTCTTTGCGTGCCTCAGTTTCCTCCCTCTACAGTGGGATAACACCATGCCATCATCTTGCTGCCATTTTCTGAAGATAAATTGTTTCAAAGCACTAGAACACCAGAGAAAAAGTCCTAGGAAAACAGTAGCTTTGCCTTCAGGGAATGCTTGAAATAGCGCACAGGTTGCACAGCAGGAACAAGGCACTCAGCAATGAAGAGGAAAGAAACCTGAATAGCTGTTCCTTAGCAGCTGTGATGCTCAAGTACAATCCATCCCACAACACTATCCTTCCTGTGCATCTGATAAAGTGAGATCTGGTGGCACAAGATAGTCTTTAATTCCTATGACTGCACGACATCATTATCCATTTTCACAGAGGAACTGCACAGTGTGCCCTACAGACTTCTGCCGTCCAGCTTAACTGAAATAATGCTAAGTACAGACTACAGCAAGCCTAGATGACACCAGGGTAAGCAGATAGATTAGATACAAAAAGCCTGAAAAACCCTTCTGGTTATGTACAGATGTAGCTAGAGCAACATTTGATGAATTACAGAAAGTTCTGATAAAGAATGTGTGTTAGTGCAAAAGCTAAAAATGTCTCCTAGGCCAAAGAGGTACCAAATACCAACAGTACTATTTAAAGTACCATAGCTGAATGATGCGACATCAGGCCTACTATTTAAGGATATGTAAGAATTTCATTGCTATTCTGCTTATCAACTGTTTTCATTCAACTAACGGGAAAATAAAAGTGGGGTTTTTTTTGTTTCTGGAATACTTTTAAATCAAGGGCATACTTGCTCGGTAAGCAAAGGCTGAAGAACACATTCCTATGTTCTTCCCAGTTGCTAAGCTCCCCCAGATTCAGACTGTACAGATTAAAAACTGCAATACGCACCAAACTCCCAAAACGTAACAACAGTCAGTCATTCTCTAGGCAGAGTGGCACAGGAGGGGACTCAGTGTATTACTCCCCTGTAGCTGCTGACAGCAGAGGAGTCAAGTGGCTCCAAGCACAGGGACATGCCCTACACCTGAAAACACACTGCTTCCTTTCCAGGCTTTGAAGGGAAGATGGCAGCCCCAGACATCCTCCAGAAAAAGGATCTGGAGTAATGGCAGAAGTTATTGTTGCTCCACCTACTGCCAGAAGCTATGGCGTCCCCCGCACAGCTGGTAGTACTGATGTGTTCACCTGTCTCTGAGAAGTTGGCCCCGTTTATCTGAGCTGTAACAGAGGTGAGTTCCATCCGAGTTCTCTCAGCAGGTTATCAGGTATACGGAGCCACGTGCAAAGGGAAAAAACAAGCTGTTTGTGCAGGCAGAAGAGTAATTCCTTAACCTACCCCAGTTTAATTACAGGACTTCTGTGACTGATCTTGGCTCTCTTACATTATATGACTGGGAGGGGGCAAGAGGGGGATGACCTACCCAGAGCAGATTCTTCCTGTGACAGCCACAGGCCTAATCCTTGTCTTCTTTCTCCTCTCCAAGGCTGTTTTACTCTATGATTCTCTTCCCCTGCCTAGTACTTGCTCCTGCCCTATATCCCTTTGTTTACCCAGTCCCTACAGTCACTCTGCTCATTTTCCATCCACCTTTCAATCCTTTTTATCACACCTTGCCTTCACAGTCAGTATTTTGATCCTTCACTCCTGTGATCTGACCTCTGCTCAGCCAGACACAAGTCCCCCCTCACTCAGACTTCCTTCAACTCAGACAATCCCCATCTACTCTAGTCTTCCCATCACCTGAGAGCCCTGATCTCAGCCTTCCGTCCCTCTCTGCTCCAGGTTTTCTTCCCTCTAGGTTTACATTATCCCAAAGGAATGGTGCATGCAGGGTTTTATCAGCATTAGCGACATAAAGCAAGCTCAACAGAACGATTGGTTTGGTTTTTGTTGGTTTTAGCAGATGAGATTTGAAAGTGAATGGTTTAGAATGGGGTGGAAACTCCAGCCTGTTTTCTCAGGGTGGAAACCTTTTCCCCAGATCTCAAACTCCTTTCAAGTATAGATATACTAAATGTTGCATGTTGAAAAAAGAAACAGAGAGGGGGGGAAAAAAAAAACAAAAACCACCACTAAACAAAACTCCACATGGTCATTAGAATTTAACACAAAAAAAGTGATTTGGTGGACATTAAAAGAAATCAGTGGAAGTAGAAAACACAGCATGGAAAGCTTCAGCCCAGAGCTAAAGTTTGGCAGTGTTACAAAGCAACAGGGTCAATGAGATCTGACAGGCAGCTTTAATCAAAACCGTAATACCAACCTCACCTAGGACAAATATGTAAAGGAAAGAGCATAATGCCACCATGTAAATACTTTCAGTAACTAGAGATTTAATTAAAAATCAGTGATTAAGCAGGCAAAAAATGAATATTTATGAGTTGTTATTACTCACTGGAGAACTATTCACTATAGTTTCACTTCTCGTTTTTAGCAAAAATATCAGCTGATCAAGGTTATAAAAAACAATCAGTCTGGCTGTCAAGTTTTATCAGATGATGACATGGGTACCAAAGTAAAAATTAAACCACAATCTACTTAGTTTCAGGACTAACAAATAAATTGTTTGTGATGCTTCATTTTGTGATGCTTCATGGTTAGCCGGGTAAGATCGGGGCATACCCAAACATGACGCCCATTAAAGAGCTTATCCAAATGCTGACAGGCAAGCATAATAATCCACCTCCCATCTATTATGAAAAACACAGGGAAAAACCCAAGGTTATCAGCAAAATGCCATCTTCTGCTACTGTCAGATAAAGTTAAGCTTGACTTTGGAGAGATGTTAAAGCTTGCTATTGGGGAAGGATTTTTAACAAAACACATGCAAGACTATAAAAAAAAAGCAGTCAATTTCTCTGGGAAAACGAGTCAGGTATTTCAATTTACCGGGCGCAATCAGGAAGCCTTTCATCTACATATCAGCTATAACGCAGGAAAGTGCTAAGCCACTTCCACAGACTGCTTTCCTACTGTGCATTTCAACTGAGGGAAAAAGAGCAGGAGGCAGTTAAGTGTAACGTAGATGGCATGAATAACTTCTCATGCTATGGGGTTATCTGGCAGGGAAACTCTTTGAGGTGTAAGACCTGATCCCTAGCCCTGTATCCAACAGTCATTTTTCAGTTGTTCCTTTACTGTTTGCACAGGGACCATCTATCCATTTCACCTGTCGTTGATTTATTCAATCTCTGTGACCACTGAAACTTTGCCTTCTGCTATCCCAGCATGAAAATTTATTACTTTTGATTTGGGAAGAAATGAGTGCTCAGCTCTCATCATGTTCCTTACGTTCCAGGTGCTCACCTTGTACTTCAGGTTGCTGTGGCTTATCAGTAAACGCTACAAAGGGCGACCTGGACTGCTGTATAACAGGCAAGGCTGGGTCACTGAATGTTATGGTATCCTTCCCACCTGAAACAATCAAAGTGTTGGAACTATTAATTCACCAATTACATCCACTGCGCACTAATTATATTCAAACATAACCTACAATTTTTTTGCAATGTTATTGGAAAGTACAGAACAGGAAAAGCATCTCAAATGATCCTTCTATAACATGGAAAAAATGCTCTGTACTGTAGCTGGAATACACAAGTCGAAGACAGAACAGGCATTTTGGTTTTAACTGCAGTACTGGGCAAAGGGCAGATTTTGAAAGAAGAGCAGGTGCTGTATGCAGCAAACTGTATTAGCAATTAGCATTCAATTTGGAATATTAATAATCAGATCGTACCAGAAGTTTTGCAAAGAGCAATGGATCATTTGCATGCTATTACCAGCAAGTGTTCAGCACTGACTCTTTGTTCTCTATCACCCTGCCTCAGCGATGAACCTGCTCGTATCACACGCGTCGTTTTACACTACAGGCTCACACACGTGTTATCCTACAGTGCTTCCTTAACAAAAATAGTAAAACCTTAAGCATAACTAAGAACTGAGGGAGCAAACAAGCACACATTACTGGGGAACATGAGGGATTATAACCTGAAAATTCCAAAAACCATTTCTGAGCATTTTTAAGCCAAATGGAAAAGGGCAATTTTTCGGCTCTTTTGCAGACAAAATAGTGCAAGAAACTCTTCAGCTGAGGACTCTGCTGTACATGCTTAGTCTTTACATATTTTAGCAATACAGAAAGCAACACCTGCAGATCCTTTAGGAAGTCCTCCACTATTCAGGATGCTCCCCGTTTTTAGTGACTGACACTACCTTAAACCTAGAGGGGAAGTGGCAGGAAATGTGCAAGATCAGCTAAGCGTGGTGTTTGCGTGGCCTCCCGAACAACTGCCAGCAGGTAAGTAATGGCTGGGGAGGCGGCAAGCTACTGCTCTATTTATCTCCATAAGAAAGGACATCTATGTAACAACCACTTCTCCCCTCTAAATCTGTTTGTACGTTTCACCTTAAGGCAACATCCTAAATCTAATCACCCAACCAAGACAAAGACTTTCAAAAGAGCACCAGGTCAGGAGAAACACGTAATAAATCCAGCTCTGAGAAAGTTCTGGTACCTACGAAGAAATAATGAAAGTCAAGCTGTTCCCGCAGAGTCTAACTGGACTAGCCCAATCCCTAACTACCTTTGAAAGCACTGGCTGTAAATACCTTGATCCTGAAGGTATTAATGACCTTTTTTGCTGGCTGTAAATACCCTGATCCTGAAGGTATTAATGATGGTTTTATATCCTTAAGGTGTTTGGGTATGTACTGTAGTAATATGAATGCAATTAACGTTTTTGAAACACGGATCTTGTCAAGTTTTGATCCCCCTGTAAAATATGCATCAGAATTCTGCCTTCACTGTAGCAAGTGATAAAAAAAAATATTAACTAACAGTAAAGTGAACCCCCCCAGTGTAAGGCAAAATTAATTAAAATGAGAAAAGGGAAAAAAAAAAAAAGGGCAAACCAAACCTGATGGCTATTTCAAAATGCAAAAGCTCCTATAAGAATGCCCTTTCCTGTAACAGTGAAGGAATTCCGTCTTGGAAGAGCGACTAAATCATATAGGGAACTAGTGGTATGAAAACATCCAAGAGATATTCATATACAGTCAAAAGTAGCCACGTATCAAAAAAGATACAAAAGAATTCAACAAAGTAAAATTCAAAATAAAGGGGAGAAGAAAGCAGAGTCTTGTTCTCTGGTGTTTTTTTAATTTGGGGGGGTGGGGGTGGGGGTGGTAAAAAGAAGTAAAGTGTGAGCTAAAGTTCCAGGAGATTGCAAGACAAGCTTCAAAAAAAGAAACTTCTTGACTTCCAGCCAGCATTTACACAGCAAACACACTCATATCTTTCTCTGAAAACCAACTGGGTTACAGAAACCAGAGCTTAGCTCAGTATCCACACATCTAGGCAACAGATGTGGCCCAAAGAGTCCGATGCACATTTATTTATCAACAGTGAGTCACATCCATTCATGAAGAAGGGACATGAGGGTATTGCTGCACTATAGTCTGTGAATCATGATCTCAAGTTGGATTACACACAGGGAATTTCAATTAGCTGCCATGTAAGCTCAATTTTATAACTTGTATAGCTTTGTGTTCCTCTATTTAATGAATTTTTCAAGGACTTCACTGAAAAGTATACCGATCTCAAAATAAGCAGACAAGTAAGTTTTCAATAGTAGTAAATTGATCTTCTTCTCCAGGGCTGGGCATCCTCTCACCACCTCCCCTGCACCCTACACCGCTGTCACTGCCGGCACCCACAGCGGCTGCTGAGCCCCTGAATTCCGTCTCGCCTCTGCTCCACGCCGATTACTGCGGAGCAAGAGGCAGCGCCTAAACCTTCTTATCACCCCAGCCAGAAAAAGGCTGAGTCACGGTCGGCTCTTTTCTCAGGCTTTTTTTTTTTTTCAGTAAAAATCGAGAATTTTCAGGGAATGATGGATTTTTTAAAACATAGAATTACTTATCTGAATGTCCAGTGACATCAAATTGTGAGAGGAATAAGGTGAGGTTCATTACAGGCTATTACTGAATAGGCTTAACCTATTATGCACGTGTATCTGAACCACAGTACCTAAGACAAAGCAAAGAATTAAATGCTCCTGCGAACATCACATTTTCTGCTTCCTTCTCAAGGCAAGTAGGCTCTTACAAAGAACATCAGTGCCAAATCCAAGCCCAAGCTTGCAATGAACCTCGCAAGAGGGTCATTTATTAAAGCCCATTTTCCAAACAGGGGAAGCTAAAGCTTGTGGCAGGCAGAACAACTCCTACAGACAATGGACTGTGTTATCAGTTTCAGCATTTCATAAGTTAAATACACACTTCCTCCTGATTTGGCTTCCCAGTTCATGCACTGCTCACAAAGCAGCTGACAAGAATGTCACCTCACAAAAAATTGAAGCGGTCAAGCTCTTCCTTCAGTAGGATAAAGTTTATTAACATTATTTATTAACACCATTTGGAAGATATTCATATCATGGTGACAGCGGATGTTAGAAATGTTATATGGACAACGATGCCCAAGTAGGAACATTAACTTCAGATTAAAAACCTGCAATTTATAATGTGCCTTTCTTTCAGTGCCAGACTGAACATCAGCTCTCATCTGTGTATTTTTTCCAATGACAAAAAGTTCGACTCTCAACCAAACAATATTTTTTTCCCTCTGGATTTAAGACTGACTAGATGAGATACTATCCATGCTCTGCCCCTCACCCGAGCCAACGTTCAGCTGCAGAGTCCACTGTGGTACTTCCCACACCATTCGTTACACGCTGCTGTTTTATGGAGCAGAAGCTTTCCACACTCTGAAAACTGGTGACCCACCAGGTGTTGCAAAGCTCTTTCTGACAACCTTGGAACTAGAGCGCACTTGGAAACAGAAGTGCACTCTTGATTTAAAAGGCAAGCACCAAAGTCAACAAACCTTGGGGCTCAACAGAACTTGCAATCCAGTGTAAAATTCCTTTACAAGTACTTAAGGTCATCCTTTCTTACTGTGTTCCTCAATTTAAAGGAATTGTCTTGTAGAGCAGCCTCTACTTCTCTTGTGGTCATCTAACTCACTTGACCGAACATCTTTATCTGTCGGATATCAAAATGTTCAGATAACATTTATTTACATGCAGTGACAATATTTAACGTACTGCTAAAATCAGTTACTAAAAATATAGGTCAAGCAGAACCTACTCCCAAATCCCACTGAGACATTGTAGCTCAGGCCTTCAGGCAGCAAAAGAAAGGAAGGAAAGAGACAGTTGTTATTGTATAAACATTAACTGGATGTCTTACCTACACAGACCAACAATGGTGCAAGGAGTTCCCACTCTTCCCTTTTTTTTTTAAATATATTTGGCAAATATTAGAGACACTGAATTTATTAGTGTATGAATTTCATGGAACACTTTTTGGAAAAGAAAAAAAAACCCACACAAAAAAAACCCTGCAGTACCTTAAACAGTTTTGCTTATGATACACAATTGTACAAAACCGTATCAGGAGGGTCTTAGACAAATATTTCACCTGCATCTTTTGGAGAATGTGGGGAGCGACAAAAGCACTAAGATTAGCCTAGGTGACTAACTGAAGAGTAATCCATGGAAAGAAATTCAGTATCTTCAGTTCTGGAAAACATTAATGAGAACGCCCGTTCCAGGAAGGGGACTCAGAATGCCTACAACAGGCAAGCTAGAGTGGAAATACACCACAGGAGGGCAAGCGGTTGAACAGCGCGGGTTTGTCAGCAGGTCTCCTCCGCTCTGTCAAAGGTTTTCTTCTCGACGGAAAGGTCAGGCAGAAAAAACACAGTGCCAAAAAGCTACAAGCCTAACCCCACACTATCTCCCACGCCCCACTAGCACGGAGAGACCCTATAGCAGCCTTCCAGTATCTGAAGGGGCCTACAGGGAAGCTGGGGGGGACTTTTTACAAGGGCCTGTAGTGACAGGACAAGGGGTAACAGGTTTAAATTGAAAGTGGGGAGGTTTAGATTGGATATCAGGAAGAAGTTCTTCACAGAGAGGGTGGTGAGGCACAGGAACAGGTTGCCCAGAGAAGCTGTGGATGCCCCATCCCTGGAAGTGTTCAAGGCCAGGCTGGACGAGGCTTTGAGCAACCTGGTCTAGTGGAAGGTGTCCCTGCCCATGGCAGGGGGGTTGGAACTAGATGGTCTTTAAAGTCCCTTCCCACCCAAACCATTCTGTGATTCTATGATAGGAAGCTGTAAACAACAGAGCCTAATGATGCAAACACCAAGAATGGAGTAGCATAATTTACAGTGGTTAAAGAACACAAAATCAGGTGTAATGGGAAGAAAAGAAGCAAAAAGTAAATGTAAATTAAATACTGCACATTTTCCTAACTGTGAGGTCTATTAGGAAGCAGATTAATCTCCCATTACTTGAGTAATTCAAAACCAAATACAACACTTAAAGATACTACAGGGAATAAGCCTGTTCTGGAGAGGTGGACTAGAAAATCTAAGATCATTTACTTTTCCAATTTCTCAGAGTTTATGATTCTACAGAAAAATATTAAAAATATGGCAATAAAATCAATGAAATTTACAAGAAGTACAAAATTAATAAATGAAACTTCTTGAAAAACATGATGGCCAATATCCCGTGTATCATTTTATACAACTGTTTAAATAAAACAGTTCCATTTTTGTTGCCTGGAAAGGGAGATAATTTTATTATTTCCAGTATTTAAACCATTTTTTTTCATTATACATATGTGACAGACTTTAAAGAGCCCAGTGATTTTTGTTTCAACTTCACATTTCTTAGAGGTTTCTAATTTTGAAAATGTGCTAAACAGCACATTTGCAAAATAACTGTCATTAAAAAAAATTATATCCAAGCCTTTCATAAATGCAAATATACCTTCAAAAACTAAATAATGCAAGCTGTGCTCCTGGATTTTTACTAACCTGGAAGACTCCACAAGCCAGCAATTTCCAAAGTCCTTAATTTCTTTTCTAGTTCTGCCACTCGATTACCTAGAATTCTTTGGAAAAAGAAAACAAAAACACAAGCCAGGGACAGTCAGCTGAGGTGAGATTCCTTGTTATGCTAAGGTAACCAGAGCCCAATTGCTTACCTGACTACAGCTGAATTTTTAATTTGTTATTTAACTAGTAAGGTAAACCTGTACACCAATCATCTCTTTTCACTAATGGCAATGGACAACCTTCCCCAGAGTTAAAAGAAAATGAAATATAGTTGTCTATCTATCCCATAATTTAAACAAACAAACAAACAAAAGGTCTAGGATGTACTAAACATTCAACCTTTCCCCTCTGGTAAGACAAAGAATAGCAACTCACAACATTTCTATTTACTTGTCTACAAACATCTCTTCTTCATTACTTTTACTTTCTCTACAGCTAAAACCAGAAGGTAAAAGCAATGCAGACAAAACATGGAAATCTCAAGACAACATCTAGATTGTTTTTGAAGTTCAAAGACACGATTTTGGCCTCGTCCTTTATTCACAGAGGTTTCTCTGTCACCAAGATTGCTTAAAATGGCAAGGAATATCTTTTCCACTACATCTTTTCTTATAGTGCTCCACTCTGCTTTCTGCTTTACTAAAAAGCTTCACGTTCTTTAGTGCCTTTATCCCCCACTTAGTTTTCACTGCATTTCTTCGGCCGTCTCTTCTTTTGTACCCAATTTCTACACAAACACTATTTGCTGTTAACTCTCCTGTAGGATTTAACTTTTAGTCTTAATTCTCTCCCAAGATCAAATGACAGATTTCTATCTTGTGAAGAGAGCTCTTTTTCCAATGAATTTTTCAAAGTGTTTCTCTCACAGGCACGGCAAGTCTCCCAGAGTTAAAAGTCTTTAAATAAATCCCAAACAATACTTAGAGTGAGAAGCCTAGACGAGGCAGCAATTCTAAACAGCACCAGATATAGCAGAGATAAAGGACAGCGAGTTTTACTCATCAAGTTACAGCGACAGCGTAAGTCGGTTAAATTTGAACTGAATGCAGAGCAGCAGCATGTCACACCACAGCGAAGCCATAGTACCTTCCCGTGCCCAGAGCTGTCTCATACTGCACCGCCTGCTCCACACCGAGGGTTTTACGCTGCAGACGTTTGAGCGGACGGGGAATGTCATTACTGACAAGATGGCAGAATCTGGGAAGGACGTGAACAATAGCAAACCCAGGAAATATCAAAGGGGCTACAGAAACTGCTTAACAAGGACTAAGTATTTTTGAAATCTCTACTGTGAGGGCTCTGCAATGACACAATAAAAGCCTGTAACTATTTGAAAGATTACGAAAATATCAAGATGAGAGAGAGAACGTGAAAGAGAAAGAGCTTATAACAAATATCAAAGGAAGCACCGATGGGTACAGTGGTACATACCGTCTAAAAAGCAAACAGTCCTTCACATTTACAAGCACAGGAGAGAAGAGTGTGGGAGCAGTTATTTCCCCATTGAAACTCAGTAATCAAACAAGTTACCAAGGTTATGATGGATCTATTACTGTCTTCTCCAATTACAATCAAAATTCTTCAAGTCTGGATTTCACTTTCAGAATGCTTCTGCCTGGTATGCGAGACTCAGCCTCAATAACTCTATTTTCATACCCCCGCGTATGGCCAGACGTCCCGCAACTGCGCTCTGCCGTACAAAACGAAAAGTGATGGAGGAAGGCACGGAGTGACCTTGAAGCCGCTCTACCTTGCGCTCAGGGAGCCCGCTCCCATCTCCCTGCCTAAGGCCCCACCGCGTCAGCCGAAGGACACGGGGTTCCCCCGGCTTAGAGGGGCAGGGAACAGGGGTGATGGCAAGCCTTCTTCCATGTCATGTTAACTCAGCCAGAGAGATGACGGAACAAGGTTGATGTGGCTAATGACTGTCACCACAAACGGGTCACAGGTTTAACACTTCTGCCAGGAAAAGAAAAAAATCCTTATTATTTTCCTAAGTAGTTCACCAGTAGTTCCAGGGCAGAAAAAGGGGAAAGATACTGCCCTCCCTGTAGGCTAGTCAGCTAGCTTTATCGCCAAAGGGAACTCAACCCCCTGCATCAAGTTCACTTACTGCTGCTGCTCTTTCTATTCAGACAACAATAGCAAAGTCACTTCTCTTCCTTCCCTTAAATTTTATAATTCATTTATCAGCTGCACCACACTATTTCTAAAGGTTTTGGAGCAAATACATCCTGGTAATTCCTACTGTATCCTCAGAAGAGGCACTGAGCTATTTTTTAACCTTTGTTGCAGGTTCTCACACGGAAGGATCAATCCGCGGCTCTGAACAATGGCTGGCAAAAAGAGAGGGCAATGCTTAATCCTGCTCCTTTCATTCAGAAGAGTGCAAAATACATTCCGTGATGAGCAGGATTCCAGTTTGCTCAAAACCACGTTATCTGCGGACAGGTATGGGGGAAATGAGCCCTACATAAAGCTGAGAGTTCTCATAGAAACAGTTTTTGAAAAATAAGTGCGTAAGCAATCCTGAAAACAGCAGAGTTTTATCCCAGTCCCACCTTTCCCCTGTGACCTCCAGATAATTTGCCACCTGTGTATGTGCTGTGGGAAGACTGAGCTGTGGAGACCTGGAACAGCACGCATTTTTAAAGGGGCTGCATGGCTTGGTAGCATCAAATTCCCTCATCTATATTTTTTTTTTATCTCCAGGCATAGTGGACCAGATCCTTCCAGAAAGGAAGAATCACATGATGGACAAAGGTGCCCATAGCTATTTCTTTTGTCCTTGGGTCACATGTCTCATACAAGAAGGGACTTAGTCTAAACCTCGCTCCAGGGTAAGATCTTACAGAAATCTGTTGCTCACGTAACAGCAGCAATGCTCTCACCTGAGTTTAGAAGCTTCCCAACATACCGTCCAGGGTCTGAAGGGAGCTGTGCGGATTTACAGCACCCGAGCTCCATTCACCTCACTTTCAATTCAGGCCTTGCTGCAGAAGACATACACCCTCATATAATCACCCAAACCTCTGCAAACCTCCACCTCAGGGCCTGTAGTGACAGGACAAGGGGTAATGGGTTTAAATTGAAAGTGGGGAGGTTTAGATTAGATGTCAGGAAGAAATTCTTCACAGAGAGGGTGGTGAGGCACTGGAACAGGTTGCCCAGAGATGTTGTGGATGCCCCATCCCTGGATGTCTTCAAGGCCAGGCTGGATGAGGCTTTGAGCAACCTGGTCTAGTGGAAGGTGTCCCTGCCCATGGCAGGGGGGTTGGAACTAGATGATCTTTAAGGTCCCTTCCAACCCAACCCATTCTGTGATTCAGATAGGGTCTGTGACAGTCAGGTATCTAGTTCTATCCATCACATGGGAACTTTCACTCAGTCACAGAATGACACAATCCTTTTTGTAATTTTGGTCATGAGGGAGCTTGCCCAAGTTAGAAATGTCAAAATTAGTGCAACATGTCTAAGCAGCAGAGTAGGTTCTACACTGATCTGGCTTCCATGAGTGCTGGCAATTTCAGGAACAAATTGCACTAAAAATAACATCTAATAAAGGGTTTATTGCTGGTAGAAGAAAAAAAGATTTTTATCTTTGCTAGGCAAGGTTAGGACTGTTTATTTTTGCATTTATGCAACTATTTAATCTTGCAACACACTACATCATACAGAATTCATTTACAACTGCCTTTTCAAATTAAGCTAATGTGCTTGTGAGGAAAAACATAGGGCATTACTTAAACTTAGTAGTAGTAGCTACCAATCACCTGGGGAAAATGACCTCTTTTCTTCCCAAAGAACTTCTTTTTTCTTAAAAGCGTGCGTAAAAAATTAAAGGCTGGATTTAGCCCACTTGTTCCTAGGCACATACTGCCACAGCTCATTTTATCGTGCCATGTATTTAGAAAAACAGCAATAATGACAGAGTGTCTGTTCCAAGAGCAAGTGGCAATGGATGTTTTCAACAACAGCATAACAGCAGAAAGTCAGCTTCAACACCACATCCAAATTCTAATCTACGTAAAAACATCCACTGTCTTGTTTTAGCTTCAGTTAACCAAAAAGCAAATCTGCCATTCTGCTGTTGTAAACTCATATAGCTGTGTCTCCCTCTGCAAGCAACAAAAGATGTTTTGACTTTAGAGCAGGTTAACTGTTTGGAGGAAAATAAGATCATACAGTCTGAATAGTCTAATTTACTGATAACAGCATCACTAACAGGTCAATCATCTATCAAATATCAAAAGCAGAACTTCTTCCCTGAATGAAACAACCACCCCAGAATCTCACGTTCTTTACGCAGTAGAATCTCACCTTCTTCACACAACAATCTGAAAGAGTAACTGGGTCTCCAAACATGCTCTTTGTGCAGGGAAAGCCAGGCCAACAGGACAGCGGGGTGAAGGAGAAGACTTCTACCTTCTGATTTATATGAACACTTTGGTCATTACAGTTTTCTCTAGCCCCACATCCTTCTCAACTTCCTACTTTGAACACAGAAATGTCTTCAACAAATGAATGTATATTCTACTAGTACCAGCTTACAGACCTGTCCGTTTCACTTGTGCACTGACCTCACTCTCACCTCTAACCTTCTCTGACAGCTGGGCAGTTTCTTCCCCATTTTCAAGTCAGCAGTCTTTACCTGTAACTTTTTACATGGTAAAGAAGTGTCCCCAACAACCAGCTAAAGCACCCAAAATAAAGAATATTTTCCCTGATGTCCTACCTGAATTTCCCTTTAACTCTTTTGTGTCTTAGGTGTTTCTACTTGAAGTACTTGAAGTAGTTCCCATTCCTCCTAGTTCTTTAAAAAGCTTCCTAATCCAACTAAAGCCAAAGGTGACAAAAAGAACAAGCATACCACATAGGAGTGCTGATGAGGCTCTTCAGTCCGTTTGCCCAGGATTTGTCCTTCTTTTTTCCCCCCTGAAGCATCCTGAACTGAACACAAGACTGCAGCTCTGACCACACTCCTGACCTGGGAGAGATACGGACTGTCACCTCCCTCTAAGATCTCATCTTCTGCCGAGCACAGAACATTAGTTTGTGCACACATCCAATCTCTACTGGCTTGGCTATACAGGACCAGTTGGGCACGCAGATGAAAGAATCATGTCTCCTTGTAAAGGCTTATCTCAAGAAAACCTATACTCAGTTGTTTAAAGCAGAGATGGTGGTATCAGAAAGGAAAGCCATCACCACAGTGACACACTGGAGAGATACAGGAGACTGCATGTGATCCAAGAGAGATACAAAATTAAGAGAGAAGTTTGCTATGGTTAAGGCAAGAGTATGCAAACCACATCAGCAGGGAATGATACAGTACCAGGATGTAAAAAGCAAAGATGGGTTATAGCTGGAGTAGCTAGTTATTCTTGGGATGTTTCCCTTCTGATGTTGCATTAGCAGCAAGAAGGGAGTAAGCAGGTGCCGGCCCTTCATTAGCACTGCTCAGTGCACTGAACATCTCTTGCACTACACGGCACATTGGCAGACATGAATTGCCTGAGCTGCCATCAGTTAGATCTGGGCTACATTTTCACCGCTTTTGTCTCCCTTTAGCTGATTAGGCATTTGCTTTCTCAAGAGTATTAAGAGTGGCTATAAACTGCTCTTCCAACTTCTGTTGCCACATCACTAAGAATTATGCAGTGGAGTCTGCCTAGTATCAGAGTTATCAATTTTCAAAATGAATCATCTATTCTAGTGCAATACAGTTTACTTCAGTGCTATTCCTTCCTTTCATGAAAGATGTCTGCCTGTTTCTGGCATCTGGTCCTGACGTGCTTTTGAGAAGCCTGAATAACCTCTGATTACCAGTAGTGACTCAGTGTTAAAAAAAAAAAAAAAAAGGAAAAACCAGCACAGAATCAAGGAACACTTCCTAGCTCTGATTTCCATACACTGTATAAGGACAATAGTATCAGAATGTCAGAAAACATGTCAAAAATTATTATATTCTGCCATGACAGGAGCCGTGTGAGACACAAAGAATTCTACTGATAAGTATAACAGCTAAGAGTAAACAAATTCTCCCTGAAGCTCAGTTTAAAAAAAAAATCATATAGTAGCAATCCAACTGTGTTTATCTCCTACAACTTTTGGCACATTAACTACAGGAGCAACAGCTATCATGGCACATAGGTTGCTAGCCTGTGACAAATGTTACACCAGTCCTTTCAGACCCTTTCCTAGGTGCAACATCTACCACCAGCATTCATTAGCCAATTCCTACATTAACAACCAATTATCACAAATCTTCTCCTCCAGTTCAAGGGTGTCCTTCCTCCCTGCAGCTTTTCTTTAGCCCTCCCTACAGACTAGCTGCCAGAAGTCCCCTGTGTTATTATGGTTTGTCTTACACCTGAGCAGCAAACCAATCCTTGCCTGGTAGAGGCAGACAGGTTTCTGCCAACCCCAGACTTTACTCTGGAAACGTGAGTTTTCTCTTAACACATACCTGATCTTAAAAAGTAAAGAACCCATCAGTTAGCAAAGACAATGAATTTTCTGTGAAAATGGACCTTCCTTTCCCTGAAACTCCCACAAAACAGCTTTTGGTGTTTTGTCCATAGCTTGGTTTGTTTGATTTTATTTATAAGTCATGCTACCTACTTGTTGGTTTGCCTTTGGTGTTGTATGACCATGTTTTTTTCATGAATAGTTTCCAGCAATGCAGTGGCCAGTGATTTGAGATCTGAAATGGACTGTGGTGTGGCTGGTAGGCTACATCCATGATCCTCCGACAACAACTCGCGGACTAGAATGTTAAAAACACAAAAGAGTTTTAGCTTCTCATGCACAGAGATGCAACACAAACATTTACTTAGCATTACAGAACTACTCTCATTACGTAAATGAATGCTTTTTTTTTGTTAACAAACAAAGTCAGAAGACCAGAAATATAATCTCTAGATGGCATAAGGGTTTCTAAGCTGATCTTTATTCCACAGCAACTGCCACAACAAGTATAGGCAGACACACCTTATGTTAACTTAATTCTGGTTTTAGAAAACTATATTTCTTGAGAAGGAAACAAACTCATTCTCCGACAAGCCTACAGACTGGTACAAATCCGTCGTTTCTCTCTCACATTAAAACATAAGCCCAGAAGGAAGATTTCATATTACTTTTTAGAATTATTATAGCCTTCAGGTTATTTAAGACTGATGTGAAAATACAGTCACCCATGAACTCTTCCTCTGCAGCTCAGAGCCTGTACTTCTCAAACACATCAGGGAGTTCACCAGTATCATGAACTTCTGTAAGCAGAACCTGGCTCTGCCTCTTTATATATCAAGATATACCTCTATGTATGTAGGCAAGCACATGGAGAAGAGGACAGAAGAGAAGTCAAAACCAGAAAAGCGAGTTTCAACCTACCATGACAAACACTACTGATCTCGTGTGTGGGTATGAATACGCCAGCACCTGAACAGTAGGGTGCCAGGTATGCTGTCTGGCTCAAAGAACTGCCTCTTCTCCTTTCTTTTCTAACCTTGATATTTTCTTTGAAGGGGGAAAAATAGATTACTCCATTTTGCAATTCCATGAAGAAATGTGGGACAAAAGAATTTCTTGTGAAACTTCTGAATGTAAAAGCTTCCAAGAACATGAGCAGAAAACCTGACTCGGGGCCCCTCCTCTACCACCCAGTCTATTTTTCATTGGAATATGAATTGTTATTGCCATTGTTGGAAGAGCAAAGAGATGAATAAAGAAGTGATTTGTCAGGGTCAAAATTGCAGAGGGGTTTAGAGATTAAAAAAAATGGATAAAACTGACGGGAGAGAATGAATGGCAAAACACTCAAAAAGAGAAGCAACAAAAAGAGAAGCAGTACTCGAGGCAAATCTTATATTGTCAAGTCAACTGAGAAAAGGACAAAAATCAGCACATGATAAGAAACAGGAAAGAAGAAAGATTTTGGTTTAGTTGGTGAGGAAAGGGTTGCTGAAATTAAGAGGTAAGATGGAAGGAATTCAATGAGCTATGCAACACCACGCTGCATTTATGTAATACCTTGCTTTGCAGACAGGACTCCAGTCAGAGCACTGCTACTGGATCTACTATGAGTCTTTGAATTTTTTCGTCTCTCTAGTGCATTCTAAGGAAAACAACAAACACCTGATTTAGAAAAACAGTAGCCAACAAATCCTATCATTAGGAGTAAAGAACCTGGAACTTTGGATTTTGGTCTCAGAGCAACTCTGCAGGGCCTGGAGCTTACACCCACAGTAACCTAAGGGAGCGTGACTCTCCTGGAATATTATTCTCCAGGTAAACAGTCTTTGCAACGTTATGAAGACTCATTCTGTCTCAACGCAATCACTTTAGTCTCCCACCCGTTCCCTGCAATGCATTTTTAAGACTTGACTATTTTTTAATAATCTGCTGCGTGCCAGTGAAGATACTGCAGCAAGCTGGAGAGAATATCAGTTGGGAACAAAATCAGACTTTCCCCAGCATCTCTTTGGATAGGCTTCAAAGAAAAAGCTCAAACTCCTCTATCAGTTTCCAGAAGCCCTCTTAGTAGCAAATACTGACCCTCAGGAATTAGCAGCACAATGATCCTGCTACAGAAGTCCAGCCCTCCCAAAACAATTACAATTCTGTGAAACCCACCAGGCCACCAAGATGCTCAGTTCTCACCAATAAACTAACTCTCACACTCCGAGAGACTCGAGTCGTACATGTAAACAGACACTGAAATGAACTCGGCTACTTTGAAATCTTTGCTCATGTGCAAAAAGCAATTAGTGCTGCGACTGCTTCATAGTGACCTAAGTAGTTAAGAAGTTCTAATGACAGCCCTAAGAATAACCCTTCTCATGCCCTGACAAGCAGCCCTCCCCTCCCACTCTGCAAAATCACTTGCAGAAGAAAACAGAGTAATTGACTTCCAGGAAAAGCAAGAATATTTTGCCCTCAGGATTCAGTCCTGAAGGTTTCCTGCAAAACAGCATGTGCCTTAACCCAGGAATGGAAGAAAAATGAAGACTTAGCAATCATTAAGACACATGAAGAAACAGTGCGGCCGTTAGGGAACAGGGAGACAAGACCTGCTTGTGACGGCAACACATCTGCAGTCTGCACTCACCAGTCACTGCGTGACCTACGCCTTTTCACCTGCCAGCCTGATCACCCACCCCACCAGGAGGGCTCCCCCTCCCCAAACTTAAAAATAGGCCTTTAATTAATTTTTAAAAATACTCTTAATGGGTATCCCTCTGTATTACATCTGCTAAGAAGCCTACAAGGAAGACTGAGCATGTAACACATACACATGCTAATACTGTCAGAATGTTAGCGGTGGCTTTTTCTCTGAAGACACAATTTTGTTCTTTAAATGCATATGAACATGAGAATGAACAATAACCTCTATGAACAACGAAGCACAGCTGAGAGAATTCACTGAGAGGATCTTACCTTGTATTTAGTAATATTAGACTTAAGAAGGTTGACTTCCTCTTGAAGTTGTTTTAATCTCTCCTGAAGATAGCTGTAAAAGAAATGTAATCCTTTACTTCATGTTACCTTCAAGTACTGCCTCAAGCGCTCCTCTTTCCTACTTGGCATGTCCTCTCTTTGAACTACTGAGAGTTCTTTCCCTTCTGCAGTCATGTGAGGGATGAAATAACAAAATCTTACTGCTCTTGACCTCATAAAATTTTAAGTAGGGAAACAAATCGCATCAGAAAAGGAGGCTGCCCTTCTGTTAGATTTGTCAAGCATCCTGCGCAAGCATTTTATATTGGTCCTCAGGTTTGGGGGAAGGGAAGCTCAAAGGACATATTTATGTCTAGAGGAAACAGTCAGGAAGCATTTACTCGTGTCTTTCTGTACCTGAAGGTCTGTGAGATGGACACATGAAGATTTGTATGTATGTCAACACAAGACTCAACTACGCAGAACTTGTGCGTTGCAATATCCATCACTTACATGGCACTTCTCATTAGCAATCACAAAGTGGAAAATTTAACAGTATACTTGAAAAATGGTATACAGTTAACTGAAACAGTACAAGTCTTCCTACCAGAGTTTATGCACTTGGATCAAACAGCTATTTCCACACAGGAAAATATCTTTGTCATGTATAAAGGGTTTATAAAATATCCTTCTTCATGTAATGCAACAGCAGCTGTACTAGGGTTTGTGGCAATTTAACCATTGTAATGAAAAAAAATCGTATCACTCTCAGGGGAGCAGAGGGCTTAAACTGATAAGGAACTCTGTATCCCACACAGAAGAAAAACAACCAAACCCGGAAGTTGCTGGGAGGAAGTAACGCCTTTGGTATTACAATTTCCTACCTGAAGCATAAGTGTCTGTAAATGGAAAGTGTCTTACAAGATCTATTTCACTGTAAGGCAATTGTTGACACTAAGGGAGGTACCTGCTATGGCTCCGTCAGTGACCCCTCTCTGTCCTCCTTAGCGGAGGCCATAACAACACATTATTTTTCTAAGGAACTGGCAAGAATAGCTACATGGGTGATTTCACCAGCAGCTTTTGTTGGCAAATCACTCCATGTTGGCAACCACTCCCTGTGGTGAGAATTATGTCCAAAACTGTTAACTCCGGGTACTGAAAGTTCCTGTTTTCGACCCAAGAGTAGCCCACTACAGCTCACTAGGAGCTTCTGAAGACACCGATCGTTAACATTCTTGCTTTTGGTACCATACAGTGATGGGAATAAAAAGGTCTGCACTTCTCTTCCTTTACCTTGTTTAGTACTGTTTGGGAATATAACTGGCATCTCCGTAACCAAATAAATAAAACACTGATAATTTCCTGCAGCCTAACTTTCTCAGCATTATTTGATGGTTAGCTACAGTTTGAAACAAAACAGACAAATTACTAAAACCTATTAAATTCTATTCTTGGATGTATTTTATTCAAAGTTGTGTTTTGACTGATTTCCTGATGCTCCTGTTAGAGCCATATACTGCTTGTTATAGGGAAACAGTAAGGTTTGCATTGCACTCACCTGTTCTCCATACACAATGCATCGACATCGATGATACGGTTTTCGTGCCCTCCTAAGACATGATTAAGTTCTTGGTTTAGCCTGTCAGACTTATCTTGGTAAAAAGAGCGTTCCTCCTTCACATCCTGTAACTCATCCAGTGCAGCCTGAAGATCATACCTCAGAGTCTCCATCTGAGAAGAAACAGTAGGACTGTTTTGAAGTTTAAAGAAAGGATTACATAGTGCCCAAAACAAAACCAGCAACAAGCACTGCATGTTTGAACAAGGACAGATTTTGGACCATTCAAAGTCTTTCCAAAGCTCATAACCTCTGGTACATTAGCTCTATTTTGATATTATTTCATTACTTTGAAGTTAAGTAACTTCAGACTTGTTTTACAGAAATTCTAGAAAACAACTAAAATGTAACAGAAGTCATAGAATCACAGGATGGTTAGGGTTGGAAGGGACCTTAAAGATCATCTAGTTCCAACCCCCCTGCCATGGGCAGGGACACCTTCCACTAGACCAGGTTGCTCAAAGCCTCATCCAGCCTGCCCTTGAACACTTCCAGGGATGGGGCATCCACAGCTTCTCTGGGCAACCTGTTCCAGTACCTCACCACCCTCTCTGTGAAGAATTTCTTCCTGATATCTAATCTAAACCTCCCCACTTTCAATTTAAACCCGTTACCCCTTGTCCTGTCACTACAGGCCCTTGTAAAAAGACACCCCCAGCTTCCTTGTAGCCCCTTCGGGGACTGGAAGGCTGCAATAACGTCTCTAAACAAAAGAAACCTTAGTCCATACTATAGCTGTGCTACAAACACATTAAGCTGGTTTTAGCATATAATTTCTAGGATTTCAGGAAAGAACTCATCTGAGTAAAAATTTGGCAAATTTGGAGGATAATGAAAAACTCTTACAGAGGCAATTTATAGCAATTACAGGACTTTCAGCAACGAAGTTTCACAGAATAGAAAGAAGAACTGAGAAAAGTACAAAATAAGCCAGCATGGATTTGACAGGGTGAGCTCTGCTATTAAGCCAAAGGGTGAATGAATTCAGTATGAAAGACACTCAAGGACAAAGGGCTGCAAACTTCCAAGGAGAGGAAATAGAGGGTGTGAGAAAAATCGGCAGTCTCCTCTGGCATCTTAGAAAACTGGTAAGCCAGGAAGGACAACAGAAGACCATGTGAAAAGAGGCCAGGAGATGAACAGAGATACCAGAGAGAATCACATTGGAAGAAGACCAAGTGCACTCAACAGTCCTTCTGGTGAGCTAAAGTGGTGCTGCACTTGCATTTAGACTGAAAAGCAAGAAATACACACATCCTCCTGGGTCACAGAATGGCTCATTCAGAGTGGAACTGACATTGCTATGTGCAGTGTTAATCAGCTACCAGCCCTCCAAACACGACAGAAGAAGTCAGTTACTTGCTACTGCACTATCTCTGTAAAACATGACATTATCCACCCATTTAGTAATTACTTGTTCTCGAGCCTTCTCCAGTTGCTGAACAAGGTCCTCCCGTTCATGTGCTGCAAAGTGTCGAGCCCCAACTTCATCATCTCCAAGTCTTTGCTTTGCTATTGTCATTCGCAGGAGCTGCAGTTACAAAAACAGTTCTGGTAAGCAGGAGAACACCCGCTGAAGCTTGAGAGCCCATCTGCATTAGAAAGAGTAAATCTGTCATAGCCCTCATCTATTCCAGGCCAAACAGCCAGTATTATTTAAACCAAAGGGAATTCTCTGACCTGAGGGCTCAATCCTGTACTCAGTGAAAAATTCTTGCCGAACACTCAAAGCATCAACAGGAGCTGATACTCACCTGAGCATACAAATGATGAAAGACCAAGTAAATACAGGCACGTGGGCAGTGTTATTTAGGAGTGACAGGAACTAATTCCAGGTAGACTAAAACTAGAGAAACTTCAGAAAGCCATTTTCATATGTAAATCTTCTGCAGAAGTTCTCTGCAGCAGAGAACTCTTCCAACTTAAGAATAAAAAGGAACAAAGTGGCTTGCCCAGCTTCATTTTACTGATACCACTTAAAATCCTCCTGCACTACATCAGTGCAGAATTTGCATTGACAGCTGTTAATACATTTGCTTGTGCATTATTTTTTCATCTATTCACAAAAATTAATTCATGTTAAAAACAAACAAAAAAACCAACAAACAACAAAAAGACTTGGCCAAAATGCTCAGCTAATGAGCTCGTGAGCTTTGAGACTGTTGAAAACAGTCTGACTTGAATTAATACAGAGTTATATTCAATATCCGAAGCAAAAAGCAACTACCTTTCAAGAATCATGGAGTATTAAAATAACAGTCTATGGCAATCAGCAGTTCGGTTGTTTATACCGAGTACAACTAGGCAAAAGTGTTGCCTCCCCATGGCCTCATTTGTAGGAACTCCACAGGGACGACAGAAACCCACCACAATAACCAGCCTGACTTTCCCCGTATCTTTGACTGCACCAAGGAATTAATGTACATCATTATATTGCAGAGTTCGAAAAAAATCAATCTTCTGAAGTACAAGACTGTACATTAAAATCTATCTTTGGTATTTATGGGATGCCAGTCACCATAGCTGCAATGTGCCAATTAAAATCCTGCTGATGCAAGACAGAGTACCAAAATCATCCTCCCCACTTATTTCAGCTCCAGTTCAGTGCAAGTCACTGAAGCTAGTACAACTTGTTCTGATAAGCAGTTCACTTGCTCAGGGGAAGCTGTGCCCCCAGAAGTAACTGGTTTTGGCAAACTACATTTCCCTATCTCCACAGGGAAAGTACAAACCACTGCGCAGTTAGCAAGGCTGAATGGAGACATAATTCCTATTAATTTCTTTATCCAAACAAATAAGTCAAAAAGGCAACTAGCAAATCCCAGAATGGTTTCATAGCTCTGGGACTGTTTGGTTTTTTTTTAATACTAAAAGGCTGATGAACAAAAGGCATTGTAATGTGATTTAATTCAGCTGGATTAATTTAATTTCTAGAATCTCTTGCTAGTGAGAAAGGCAGTAAGAAACAAATGTAATAGCATTTTGAGGACTCAATTTTGTTCAGAAAACCTGGAAACGGCAAGGGGAATCACACTTTACCAATACCTTCAATGCCTGCAGCAGAGCAGAACTTCTGCGTAAGGCTCAGCAGCCGGCTGGGAACTGGATCAGAGCTGTGATTCACGCACTAGGATCAACCCTCCTCCAGCCCGGGAGGGGGTGAGGCTAAGATGTAATTATAACTGCAAGCAATTACTACTTGCAAGGTCAAACAGTCTGCCAATAAAAGGAGAACTCTGTTTACTACTAATTTCAAGGGGAAAAAAAAGTATTAAGTCTTATGAAAAGAATGCTTCAGAAATCCAAATTCAGCTAGTAAAAGCAGCATTATAAACATTAAAAAAAAGTCAAATACCAATCCATAAAACGACAGAGTGCCTCTTCCAGACAGTTGGCCAATCAGAGAGTTGACAGGGCAGAACAGGCCAAGTCCTTTAATTCTGCATTGCAAATGTCTCATGGGGCAGCACCACCTGCTATAACATTCTTCCCTGAAAATGCTGTGACCCAAAGAGACACTAAGTGTTATGCCAGAGGGTTAAGGGTTTATTTCGTATATTAATGCTCCGTTATAAACTTTATGCACCTGCCCTCTAGCTGCAGTATTTTTATTTCTGTCATTCAGAAATAAAAATCACTGAGGAAAGGACCGCTCAACTTCACTTTGCAACTAGACAATGGGCTAATGCTACCCCTCGGGATTCTGGGAACAGCATCCACAGCAGAGAGGATTTAAACTAGCGACACCTCACCAGAGAGAGCTCCTGTTTGTCAAGAGCCCACAGATTGTTAGCCAAAACAATCCAGTGCTGCAAGCCACTAGTCTTTATTGTTTTAATATCACAGCTTTTTCCTTAATCAGTGTCAGCTAAAATAATTACTCATAATGTAGCAACTCTGTAGCAGCCCCAAAATGCCCCAGACAGGTTTCACTGCATAGCTGCTGTGCGGGCTAGGAGCCCACAGACAATGTCTGCACCAGAGTTGTGCACTCCTGATTATCAACAAAACGTGCAGGAGGAAAACGGAAACAAGCACAATCAGTAAATTTGTCCTGGAAGGCAGAAACTATCACGTTTAGCCACAGCCACTGACAGCAACTGTCTTCGCCATGTTGTCTACAAAACCTCAAAAAGTGGACCAGAACTATGCAAATTTGCTACCCTAAGTCCCAGTTCTGCCAAAACACACGCACCACACTTAAAATTTTGCACCGTTGCTGCGGGAACGACTGTCTGCCTTACAATGGCGAAGTGTCAGTAATCCTGCAGACACTGTTTTCCATGCATCTTCCTCTTGCTTAGCGCTGCCCTTGACAGCTTACAAAACCGTTTCTTTGCGTGGGCAGGAATTCAAGGGAAGGGAACTGAGTCATCTGGTCTTCCAGAAGCCTCCAGTTTCTCTTATGCTTTCCAGTTTCACCCATTTACAAGAGAGAATTAGATTTCCTAACTACCCCCTTCTAAGTCTCAGTAATTGTTCTCCCAGCGTTGCTGCCAGAACGTTATGGAGGAAAAAGATTTACAAATAACTGTCATAAACATAGAATAGTTTTCATGTGTCACAGCTGATAAGAGATTGTGATCAATCATAAAAATAAACAGTCTTAGATATCTGTTGCGGGAGTGCTGCAGTCTAACTACTGCTGTATTTCTCAAGCTCCTGCAACAAATCCTTCCAGAGACTGCCTGAAGAAGTTTTATTATTTGTGCCAACAGAATTCTAGCTGAAATTAAAGGAAAAAATTAGTCCTGTTAAACCAAACGCAAGTAATTTGTTATTGCCTAACCGATGACTTATTTAACGTGATTTTAACAAGTAAAATGTCACCAGTTTAAGCTCTTCTTGCTAATCCAAATGACTGTATCCTACTAGTAACAAACATTAAAGCGGTGAAAAACAAGTCAAGCCATCAAAACATTTCTTTATCAATAGAGATAATGTGTGATATTTAAAGAGGTTTTTTTTCTTTTTTAGCCCTACAAAGCTCTGCCACTCAGTGACAAAGGCTGCATGAGTCACCCCTGCTCAGACACAGGCAGAATTGTTCATCCATAAGCAGCTTCGCTTGCTGCAAAAGCAGCTGTTTGTTCATCTCTTGCCAGAAGTAAGGTGACGTAGACCAGCTGGGCAGGATGCCCTCCCTCACTTTGGAAAAAGCAAAGAGAAGAATGAGGGGGGGGGAAAAAATGGAAGAACAAGCAAATTATTATAGTTCTTTGTTTTTCTATATACCATGCATTATCTGGACTCCAGTGCCTGAAGTAACCCAGCTGCCAGCCAGGAGAACTGATGAGCAGAACGGAATGGCTTCGGGAAGAAGCCCAGAATTTTACTACTGCAGCTAGGAGGGAAGAAAATCTGACACAGGAGGAGAGTCTTAAATCCCTCAGAGAGATGGCAATGCTTTTTTAGGCACTTCAAAAACCAGCAACCTGACTCTAAAATAAGGTCTATTTCTCATTTACTAGGAAAGTGAAGAATGTGTTCCAAAAACGAAAATCCTAGTCTAAATTAATCCCTGTCTGATGCAGTTCTTTCCTCCCCCTCTTTATTTAGTGATGCACTATTTTGCACCTTGTGGAGAGGAGCACGGTGGGCAGAGTAACACTTTTTGTATTTTTCCATTTGTTCTGAGGATCATGCTGAGAATACAGATATCACAAAGATGACCAGCTAATATCAAGTTAACCTGCCAAGGCAATTCTAAACAAAGCCAGTTCTAGCACAAAGAGGTAGGTTCTGTGTTACCAAGATCATATTGCTATAAGGAGCTAGAATAGGTACATAACTTTGATATCAAAGTATGTTGTAGTTTTACTACCTTTGTGTTCTGTCCATAGTTACAAACCCTAGTTATCTGTTCAGGACTGGCTTGGGAAAGGCTGTATTTTGATACTGGAGAACTGCAAGGCACCGTCTTCTACACCGTAATATAGTCCAAACAGTAATGTGCAAATGAAAAGAAAACACTGGCAAAGCTGGTCTTTGAAGACTTGAGCAAGTTACACTGAATATGATGCATACTACAAACTCAGGTCTCACTTAACCCTCTCCCAGTTCCCTGCACACCTTCAAGGAAGTCCTTTGTGATAAGCAATGAATAAAACTGCATTATCACAATATATTTATGTTTAAAATAAAATAAAGTGAACTTAAGTGGAAAGAAAAAAAAATACCTGAATAATTAAAAGCCACATCTCTTTATTCACGTTTTTAAATGCCATAACTTTAAAACTGTAGTTGAGGGAGGGAAGTTGTCATGCATTATTTGTTTCATTTTTTACTTCGTTAACCACCTCGACTCTCAAATTCAACCTCTCACTAGTTTGATCTCTGAATGTACTTTTGCATACAGCTCCAGCTGTGAATGCTGCACACATTTGGCTTGAGTTTAAATATTTCAATTAACAGAGACAACAGGAGTTTGATTAATACCAAATGGCAGATTTTGAGCAATGTTCCATATAACTTGCTAAATTTAGCAATAAAATAAATTGGTTATGTAAAGGTAATAGGATGAGGGCTTAATACAAAACTCATTATATATATTTGTGATCAACTGCTCCATATTTTTTGAAGGGAAAAATTATGCTTCCCCTGATTTTATCATCTACTAAAATTCTGCATTTTCAATTAAAAATAAAAATATCACATGATGAAGATGAGGGAGGAAGGACAGGAGGAAGGTAGGTTTGGTGCAAGATACATAGTTAAGGACAACAGAACAAAAACAGTATACAAAAATATATAATAAGCTGCACTTCTGGTATCTTGTAAAAGCTCCTTTTGTCCTACTGTTTTGAACACTTACCGTAATCAAAGAACTCTAGAAATTCTGTAACTCGTTTTATTTGTTTTCCTAAGAAGTAAAGGCAAACTCCATCCCAGCTTACACATTGCATGCCATTTACTGATAACAAAAGTTTATAGTACCTTATTGTCTCCTTGTACTTCTCCCAGCCTCTGCTGAAGCTCTCTAATCTCTTCTCCAAGATGCTTATTTCGATCTTGAGCCTCACTCAGTAGCTGAGCAAGATTTGCCTAGAAAAAGAGGAAATATCAGTCAGAAATTAGTGCCTATGGAGAGAAGTGGAAGTGGTGATTAAAAAGAAACCCTAGACTTTCTCCTTATCTGCCAAAAATCTTTACTTTTACTGTTGTTGGTACCTGGACTTCATGCTTCATCACAGAGATAACAAAAGTCAGCAGGGTTCCTTTGTCTTTAATAGTAGGAAACACATACAGCACGTGCATACATACTCCCAGGACAGCACATCCCCCCAAATAAGACGAAGTGAAAACATCTACGTTAGTTCTGGTATGTTGGCTGGTGGGAAGAGTAAAATGCAGAGTACTTTGACAATATTTATACAAAGATGCCAAAATAATAGCTTTAAACTTGCATATAATTAGACAACAGGCACAGCTGAGAAATAATTATGATATAATTATATTCCCTAATAGAGTTGAGAGCAGAGTCCTAGTCAGTAGAGAGGATGCCAGCAGGAGTCCCTGCCCTGTACGGAGCTGTACCATGGCTATCTAATCGCACAAAACTTCCAACGTGACCTGAGTTGCGTTGTTAGCTAGTACACAGACTACTAGAAAAATAGAAGTGAAAGCTAGGTTAAAAACAAACACACACCCCGCCCAAATAATCCAGGTCAAAAATTATCATTTGTGTTAACCTACTAAATTGGCAGGGCAAGCAGTCTGGTCTACAATTTTACAATTAAATTTCATCAGCTTGATCACTAATTGAAAAATAATGCAATCTCCCCCTTTCCTATTTATGATATCTGAAAACGAGCAAATACTACAGATAAATTTCTTATATTTTTACTCTAAAGAAAATCTCACAAATACACACATGTTGACCCAGCAGAGGAAAAGCCTACCAGTAACATCCCTTCTGAGAGTTATAATCACAGTGGCTAATGCGCAGCCTTTCAGAACATTGCCTATGGACAGCTAGGTGTGCCATCCACTGCCATAAATCTGAAGAGTATAAAAAGAATTAGAAACAGAAACAGAATTTTCAAATCAAGCATGACTTGGTAAAGCTCCATGAGCCCATGTTTCTAAGCTCCCCTTGCACGTGCTCCCTGGGTTTAAGGCCCATGCATCAACTAGTTTAGCTCTCTCTTGGTATTTCAGGTTTAGCTTTAGGTTCCCTACTTTCTGTGCTTCTCTTCCAACTCCCCCATTTCTCTCTCTGTTTTTCAGTTCTGCTCATTTAGCCAGTCATTCTCACTACCAGTTGACAGTCTCACAGAATGTTTTTGTGAGCTTTATGTTTAAAACTCATACACTATCAAACCAACAAGGTACCTGATAGCCATTCCTGTAATCTTTTCTCTATTTACTAACAACTGATGTTTCAACATGTCCTGTTTGACATTTAAGAGAACCATTAACACAACTCTATTAACATGAATATTAACATGAATATAGCTATGCAAGCACCTGACCATTTTCAGCATCAGACTACTAAACTATAACCAAGTGGAACTTCTGCACACTACTATATGAAGAAGCCAGCTCCAAATTCCAGTTGGTCTAAAATAGCAATAGCTTCAAACTTTTAAACAGGAAAAATAATTCAAGAAACTGATA